GGTGGCCACTTGCCACACAAATTAATTAAAATTAAGTAAAACTTACAATCATATATTTAAGTTAATTGTTAATACTGTTGAAAAAACAAGAACACCTGACATCAAGGTCATTGGAAAATTGGGTAAATGATAGATTTAATGATAGAATATTTCTGGAAAACAGGTTGACTAGTCCTGCTGTCAGGCTCAGAGGGAAGATTGTTAACAAGCTTTGTTGCAATTGTTCATTTTCTCATTTATCATATGGTACACAGTAACATATTTGTATTATCGTTTATTAATACTTTTCATTTTTCAAATAAAAATTCTGTCATTTTAAAAAAAATAAGTTTCATGGACTCACCAGCCACATTTCAAGTGCTCAATAGCCACTTGTGACCACCATACTCCAGAGCACAAATATAGGACATTTCTACCACTGCATAAAGTTCCACAGGACAGTGTCAAATCCTTACTACTTCAGAACAGCAGCAGAGGATGCCCTAGGAGCTTATCAGAAATGCAAACTACCAGGTCACACTCAGACCTATGGAATCACAGTCTGCATTTTGACAAGACCCCTGGGAAATATGTGTGCACAGTGAAGTTTGAGAAGCACTGACTTTACCCCCCAACATACTCTTCACTTTGCAGATGAGAAACTGAAATCCAAAAATACAAACCAACTTGGCTAAAACCACATATAGGTGGAGCTGGGGCCAGAAGCTAGGACTCAAGCCTCGGCAATTCTGCTTGTGAGGGGGGTGAAAGGAGGGTGTTGTATTCAAGAATGCAGGGGGAGGGGGTTGGAGACTTCAGCCTTATGTTTTTGTCATTTCTGATTTCTCAGGATGGGCTCAATTTGGGGGCTGGCCTGAGAGAGAAGTGGAATGAAGAGAACAAGAGGGCAGTACAGGAATGAACGCTCTGATATTTCCCCCTGGATTTACCAGGCTCTCACCTAACCTTTCAACCTAAGAAGGGGTTTCTCAGAGTGGACAGAGCCTCAGGACCCCTCTGGCACTGGGATTTGGCTTAACTTCTCTTGACTGCTCACAACTTAAGCCTCACTTTCTCTGAAAAACTAGCTATGCCACTTTAAAAAGTCATGGTGAAGATTAAATAAGATAATAGGGTCTAGATGCCTTAGCAGAGCACCTGAGCAGAGGACATTCTCTGTTAACTCTCTCTTCCCTTTCCCTTCTCACCACCTTCCTTCACGTCCTCTCAGCCCCAAAACAG